CTTTTTTTTTTAATTTTCTAAAATTTAAAAATTTAAATTCTCAAACTTACCATGCATAGTACAGCACGCGCCATTTTTGCAAATATAAAATTTGATTTGCTTTAAGCAAGGAAAATTACTTTTCTAAAAGTTCTAGGCGATCTATTAAAAAATCTTTAGAGAAAAAAGAAAAAAAAAATTAATTAATTAATTATGACAGCAACGGCAAATAACACGTTTAGCATTTTTTTTATTGCATTTTAACACTTAATCCTTTGAAAGCTCTTGAAATATATTTTTAGAATTTGCTTTTGGTCCTTTAAGTTATTTGCATTTGTTACACAGTGTTTTTGTTGTATATACGCATATAGACATTTTTATAAATCAGCAAGCCACAGTTATTTATTCAAATGTTTGTTGTAATATCCTTTAAGTGGTTGCGTGCACAAGTGTTTTTTGGAGGTTTATTTCAAACTTTTTAAAGTTTCTTCAAACTTTAGTTATTTTATAAACTTTTCGTTGAATATATTTTTGCCGTTAAATGCTTTTAATAAACAAAAATTAAGTGTTAAATTTCAACAAAATATGTATGCTGGAAATTACAATTTGAAAAAAGCTTTACTTTGCTAGACCGTACCGTTTGGACCGATCTGTGAGAACTGAAGATGCTCGTCGCGCTACTTGCCAATATAAATGAAGACTGCGAAATCCAGCAAAAGCCCCAAACTGCGAAACAACATCTTTAACAAAAATAACAATGCGATCTGCCACGCCAATAACACACACACACACTCAAACACACCCAAGCAAACACATGCATATGCCCAATGTGTGATGGTGCGCAAGCGCAGACGCTGCAGTCAACAGCGACGCCGACGCAGCAATTCATTAACTTTTCAGCGACAAAATCAGACGCATCATCGGCGAAGAAGAATAAAGTGAGCATCTTTAATGCCAACAACAACAAGCAGCTAGCTAGCTAACACTAAATGCTCGCATGTTGGCTACGTAGCGCACGCTGCCATAAATTGCCGCTGTGTAGGTGCGTTTCAAGCCCAAAACCTGCCGGCTCGTCAAGCGCAGGCGAGAAACAAGTTTTTTTGTTTGTTTAGCCAGCAACGATCGATTGCGCCGATACGTGAGTGAGAGTCAAATGAGTTCGTGTTTGTTGCGCTCGCCGGCGCTCTTTTAGACGCGTTCACGGACAGGTGTTGCGCCCCTGTGGAAAATATTAAGCGCGCACATTCATTTGCTGATATGTGCTTGTATGTGTGTATGTGTGCACGTTTATGTGCAAAGTATAAGGGTTGCTTTCAATGTTTTTGCATTTGTGTGTGTGTGTTGTTGATATAAATTATTCTAAAATTTGCAGTTAACACAGCTATTAATATGTGTGTGTGTGGTCGCGAAATACTCGTATAACTAAAGCAACTGTGAAGCAAAATTACGTAAATTTAATTTTAGCAAAAGGCTCACACAAATCCAAACACACCTATGCACATACAAGTGTATATATGTGTGTGTGTGCACAGAATCACGTTTTGCCAGCCGTTCGCTTGCCTTATTCCTTGTTCTCCATTTTTTCGCACACTAATTCACTCAATACGCACACGCAAACAGAGAATTCACCAAGAAATATTCGGCGATCCGTTTCCAGTTTTTCTTGCTGCCACATAAAATTCATTAAAATCGTTTTGCGTGTGATTTAATAAGTAATTAAAATGTTTGCATTTGAAGCACAACCACATTTGAACCCGGCCAGTTCGTGCAAATAATGGTTGTGTTGTTGTGTTTTTGATTTTCTTGCGTTCGATTTTTGTGTGTTTCAACCGCATTTATTAGCAATTCTTTTAATTGAAATTCTAATATTTTCGTTGAAATTTATTTGCTGCCCATCGATTTGAATGAAATTAAGTTCAAATTATTTCCGCAATATTTAAAATTTGTATTCTAGTGGATGATAAATACATATACATTCATATTAAATGCAGAATATATATATAAGTATATTCGCAAATCCGCGTTTTCCATTAGTCTTTTTTTGTAACTAATTAGCTTAATTATTAAACATCAAACATGCCACTGTGTAATAATGAGGAACTTAAAGGTATATTCTTTAAACCTTTTTTTTTTTTAGCTTTAATAAAATAAAATAAAATAAAAAATAATTCTTTAAACCTCCATGAATGAGTTGATTACTTATGATTAATTCTTGGATTATTACTATTTTTTAATTCGCCTATAGAAGTCTATTGATCAGTATTATTAATAATTATTAACAATTATAAAAAATAAATTTTAATCAAAATAAAGAATTGATTTTTAAGCTTATTTCATTTTAATAATATTTAATTAGTAAAGTATTAAGTTTTTATACCCTCAACAGTGTACATTAGGTTTGTCACGAAGTTTCTAATAACCGGAAATAATCGTCGGAAAACCCAAAAGAAATATATATATATATGATCAGCGTGGCGATTTAACTACTGTCTTCTGTCTTTTGTATTTCGGGAAATAATAGGATTAAAGAACACAAATCACAAATATTTATCAACGGAAATCGTTTTGTTATTTTTTAAAATATTCTCTTTAAGATCTAAACACCTTTGCATGTCTTTGAACCAATCGTCACGAAGCACTTTGGCCACTTTGATTGAGGAGTCCCCAAAACATGCCTTTTGAGCTCATCAACCGCCTCTTCAAGAGTGATCCGTGATCCGTGTTGGGTGGCTGGTTTTCTTGATTTCTTGAAATAAAACTGGCAAATAAATGGTTGTATATCACTCAGAATTCACTGTTCTGCAATGTTTCAGTTGTATCGTTGCGACAAGTCCAGTTTTTTTCAAAAAACCAGACAAGCCTTTGCTCGAAGGGGCAACTTTGGTTGAATTCGACTCATCTGAAATCACTCATACAGCGCTTCCTGCTTACTTTCAGGTTCATACGCCTGAATCCACGATGCATCACCTGTCACGATGCCATAAAGATGTTTCAAAGTACGGCTATCGGACAAATCTACACGAGACTTTATTTGCGCGACAAATTGTATGGGACCCAAAATGAAGAAATTTTCTTTTACAATCAAATGTTCATGCAATATTGAATATTTATTGGTCCCATCAACGCCTACAATTGTCTCAATTCCACGACAGGTCACATGACGATCTTACAATATCAGTTTGCGCACAGCCTCAATAGTTTTCGGAACAATAACATTCATGAAATTCATCATGGAGCAATCGATTGAATTCATATACCATCGATAGACGCTTGTCCTTTATGGAGTTTAATCATAAAAAATTGAATTAAGTTCAACGATGCACTGTTGCTGAATTAATCCACGTCGAAAGTTGTAAAAAATAATTGGGCAGAAATGATCGCGATTTTATTTCATTTTTTGGCCGTAGTGAATATTTTAAGTTACTGTAAACAACACATAAAGCATCGGTTGTCAAAACGTACAGAAAATGTATAACATCGAATATGTCAAACTTTGTTGTGAGTTACCAAAACTAAGGATCCAAAGCCCGAAATATAAAAACAGCCTACGTATGGCATCTATTTGTCCATATATTTGTGTCCAAAATCTTTTGCTTTCATTTTTTTAGAAAAAGTGTTAATCATGTTGTCCGAGATAGCTCGGAGTACAGCAGAGCAGCTTTAGAACGAGACTGAAACAGAACTGCCCCTCTCATCAGTAATAAGGAGATGCACAACTCTTCTGTCATTGGAAATGAGAAAGCAACTCGCCTACTCAATTTTGAGAGTTGACTGGATCGGGTAAGTTTTGACATTTCCAAGTTGGAACAACTATGACGACCAGATTGAAAGTCCACCAAAATAAACAAATAAGTAATGCGATACATCATATTATTAACACTTAAAGAAAAATTATTAAAAACGTTTATTATTTGAGAGCTAACAAACTGAAATCTTTAATAAGCAGTGAAAATTAAAAAGTCCGATGCTTTAACACACCATAAAATCATATATAAAGATTTAAATAGTATTTCCACATATTAAATGCGCAATATGTAATAAATTATAATGGTAACATATGATGAGTGTGTCAATATAAATGCACAAAAATTTCATCTGTTCTAACGTACTCAGTGGCTTTATCACAGAAGGGAAAAAGATCATTTTGATCCAACTGTTGGAAAATTCAAATTCCATGACGTCACTTTTGAACTATCCAAAGCAAAGTATTAAAGTGAAAATTCTACTTGGGTCTCCCAAGATCACAAAACACAAACCCACATCGAACACTTTACTGAGAGATTGAATTTATACTTCCAAAATATATAGTACTTATGCCACGAACAATGCTCTTTAAGATTACTCTTCAACAAATCAGAGTCTCTAGTAATCATTGCTGCCTTCTACACACTATCTGTGTGTTACTGCTGATCTTAAATAAATTTTTATATACTTGAAAGAAATTCAATCCAACGAGGAACATATGAACATAACTCAAGAATGGAGAGATCGTTAATGAAAAAGGAAAGAGAGACATCGTTGTTAATGTAAGAAAGGAGAAGGTAAGATGTGTTTTATAACTTGTAGAATTTCTAGGAAACAAAAGATAAAACCCGGCAGCTAACCTCAAATTAAATTTTTTAATTTTTTACAAGCTAAAACGTAGGCTTGGAGTTGTCAAGAACACAAAAAAACATCGAAACTTTTTGGATTTTTTATTTTATTAAAATCGAGCATATATGCCAGTGTTAGTTACTATATTTAAATTATCTAAATAAATCTGCAATTTACAGAATATCTCGCATTGGTGGATTAATGTGTGGGTACAAAAAGATAACTTACAACAACACACCTTTGCACAACAAAAATCAAAATTCTTTTCTATCCTATTAAAGAATCTGTCCTTATACTTGTACTGTGATAAAAATAAAGACAATAACATATAATTTGTGAGGGCAGACCGCCAAAATATTTAAAATAAACTGAAGTTCTGAATTATCTAATGAAACATGTGAGGAGCGCCCGTGTGCTTCGATAACACCCAGCTTGCTTTTGGTGGAAAAACCAGCGTTCGCTGTCGAAATTCACACTTTCAGTTTCGGCAATAAGAACTACAAATGCGATTACTCCTTTGGTCTTAGCAATTCTTCAATAAGAAAATTAAAATATATTCAATATTTTAATGAGTTAAACGTCTCTAAGATTTGCTCTTATTGGCGGCAGTAAAAAAGCCATAAAAAGCATTCTAAAAGTGAAAGGGCAATGCATAAAATATGCAGTGAATAAATAAAACATATATATATATATATATCGGTAATTTAAATTGAGGCAAATGTCTATGGAATGCCAACAAAAAATTTAATTTTTTATAAGAACCTGAATATTGGTGTAGCCAAAGTGTTATATGAGAATCATGAAATGAAATCGAATGATTAATAAAAAGTTATAGAAGATGCACAAAAAGAGAAATTAGTTCACACCGCCTCTTCAAAATAATCTAATTTTATTGAAAAACAAAAAAATATATTTGTCATTGCCAGCATCTCAATCTACTTGCAACACGTCAACTGCACATACCGACTGTTCTAACTGTGAAACACACACTAAACCGATGAGACTTGTTAAAGCATCCAAAAAATATTAAAAATTCCACATATTTTAGCGCTAGACTAGG